GGTCCTGTTTAGCCCAAAAAAAAAAAAATCTATTACTTCTGATTTGTTAAAGGTTAACTGACAAAATGGAAAAATATGAAGGGTAATTTGACTTGGGAATAATTTATGCTCTTTTTATTTACTTTTTTCTTTGTCATTTTTTTAATCTCACAACGGAATTGAATCTAACTTAAGGTAAAAGTTTAAGTAGACAACTAACTGAGCTACTACGGTTTTCCATTGAACTTATATACTATACGAAATGAGAAGAAGATGCAGTGAGGGAGCACACTGATGTGATAATTCCCTTGGATGGATGCTAGTGATCAACCATATGATAGTTACAAAAAAGTTATTTCCTTCGTAATTATTTTAATTCTAAATGTTACTCTCTTTGTTTTAATTTATATGACATACTTTTTTTATTAATTCAATCCAAAAAAAATATATTTTTATATTTGTAAACACTTTAATTTTAAACTTTTTATTTTACCCATTTTATCCTTAATGCAAAAATTTTATAGCTACAAATACAGAACGACCCCACAACTCTTTTATTCTTTAATCTTTTAAGATAACAAGTTTTAAAAGTTTTTTTCCTTAGTGCCAAGTTAAACAAGTATATTATTACTTCAACCAACATTTAAAAATTATTATCTTACTTTAATGCTGAAAATTTTTCCTCAAACTATTATTCCCTCCGGTCCAAAATAAGTGATTTTTTAGCTATTTTCACACAGATTAAGAAATTCACCTTTTAACATTAATTAGCAATGAAATTGACCATATCAACCTTTACTATCTCTTCACATAAAAACTCCTAACACAACTCCAACACTATTTACTCCAAGGACAATGTAGGAAAAAAATAATTAATTCATTCTTGAAATCTGAAAAAAATTACTTATTTTGGACCACAAAAAAAAGGCCAAACAACCACTTATTTTAGACCGGAGGGAGTATTATATTCAATATGCTAGAATGTCATTAATCTCTAACAAATGAGTACTTTTTTTTAGTCCTTGCGAGGGACCACTTTGGAATTTAATGTCGTTTTGGAGACAAAGAGGGTCGGTGGACGAGGCATTTATGTGTTTGGAATTTTCGTTTGTTTACTTCTTCAGCCTTTGACTGATGAATATCAAAGTCAATTCCATTGTTGTATTAATTACCCTTTCATTTCACTAAATACTAAGTCTGCACTCTGTAGCAGTTGTACGCCCACAGCCAGACTGAAAGAACTTTATCTGTAGATGTACACAAAAGTGCAATACATACATGCTACCAAGTATACTCGCTGAGCTACAATATTAGTTATGTTTTCGTACTAGACATAGGTGGACTTAGGATTGACGGTTGTAGGGTATCATTACATTCAATATAAATTTATCGCTGTTCATAAAGACCGGTACGGTAGTCTATGCTAATATTTAGCTATTTCTTGAAGACATTTGCATGTATACATAGAGTTTTTGTTGAAGTTTTCGTGCCGGTGTCCCCTCAATCCATAGTGTGTGTCTGCCTCTAGTACGAAACCTAGTAACTTTTGTTTAGATCCTCTATTCGCATTAAAAATTTATTAAATTAGTATAAATATTTAATAAAATAGGAGCAAGCTAGCTTTCTCTCTCTTAGCTCTCGGCGCACGTTATGCTAACGTACGCCGCCTGAGAAGAAGCCATGGCGAGAAAGCGAGGTCGACCCAGACGAGAGCCGCTCGTGACGGTCGGCGAAGCCATCAGTGCAACGGTAATTGCAGATACATTAGCTAATGGATCCAATCAGCAAGTAACAACACCAACTGGGCAACAATTGCAGCAAAATTCTCAGAAATCAGGAGCACCTAGTAAGAGATTTGGAGCGATGAAAAGGATAGATCTCAGTGCTGTGCAGATACATGTATCCTCATCTTCGTGTGAAGGTACTCCAGCAAGTGCAGACATGGAGGCTATGAAGAATAAGCTGGAAGCGGCAACAAATAAGCTAAAGACCAATGGAACAGTAACAATTGAGCAAAAGGAGGAGCTAAATACACATGCAGCAGTACCGGACAAGGAGAGAACTGGGGCAAATCTGTTTGCTGGTAACAGATCTTCAGAAAATAGTATGGTATTATCTTATATCCCTCCGGAAATTGTGGATGGTAACATTGTGGTAAAAATTGAAAAAGAAGAAATTGATGAACAGAATAAGAAATGGGAATATGCCCTAATTATTTATGTAATTGGGGATCTGCCAAGGTATAAATTCATGGAAAAATATGTAGCTCAAGCCTGGAGTAGAGTGAGTATACCAGAGTTGTACTTACATGATGAAGGATACTACATAGCAAAGTTTGACACTATTAGGGATCTGAAAGATATTCTATATGGAGGACCTTATACCATTAATGGTAGACCAATGATTTTGAAACAATGGACACCAGAATTTGATATTAAGGCAAAGTTCCTGATGGAAATTCCTTTGTGGATTACTATCCCTAATTTGCCTATGAGTTACTGGGGTAACAAGACATTAAGCAAACTAGCAAGTGCTATTGGGAAACCACTATTTGCTGATGAATGTACCACCAAACAGACTCGTATCTCCTATGCTAGGATTTTGGTGGAAGCTAATGCGACAAAAAAGCTTCCAACTGAATTGACATTGCAAGAACCATCGGGGAAAAAGATCCAGCTGCAGGTGGAATATGAATGGAAACCACAGTATTGTATAAACTGCATGAAGATAGGGCATGATTGTACACTGGGAAAGAAAGTGAACAAACAAGATCAGTATAGAGGAAGGCAGACACAGGGGAAAATTACCACAAGATGGCAAGTCAAAGGGCAGGGACAACAGCAACAAGCAGAGATAAATGAAGGAGTTAGTAAACCAATAAGGCAGGACAATGATAATGCAGCTACAATCATTGAAAGTACTGTAAACCATAAGGTGGCAAAGGATAAAGGGAAAGCAAAAGAAATGCAGAATGTAGACCAAAGTAAGGAATGGCCAGCCTTGGCTAGCAATAGCAGAATGACATTGGGAAGAACAGCAATAACTACAGCAAATGTGTTTCAGATATTGCAGCAGGAAGAGGGAAGAATGGAGGAACCCAGGCCACCTGATTTGAGAGGTGGAATAATCATTCACCAATGACTTGGTTATTCTGGAACATTAGGGGTTTGAATAAGAGATATAAACAAAAGGAAATAAAGCAGCACATTAAAGATAAGCAAATCAAGCTGGCAAGTTTAGTTGAAACAAAAGTGAAAGAAGGCAAAGCAGGGAAGGTGATTAATAGAATAGTACCTGGATGGAATAAAATAACAAATTATGAGTATGCTGTGAATGGAAGGGTATGGATTATATGGGATGAGCAAGTATATACTGTCCAACCACTAGACAAGCATGCTCAATTTCTTCACTATTTAATAAAAGGGAAGCAGAATGGGATTTACTGTTATTGCACAGTGGTGTATGGACATAATGATGCAGATCAAAGAAAAGAGTTATGGGAACATATTAAAATATTGGCACAGAGCATCACAGGACCATGGTTATTAGGGGGAGACTTCAATGCTATCCTCACTATTCAAGACAGATTGTCCAAAGTGCCTGTGAAGAGTGCTGACATAAAGGATCTTGCTGAGCTATGCCATGACATTGGCATTACAGAGTTACCATGGAGAGGGGAGTATTTTACATGGACTAACAAGCAGCAGGGTGATGATAGGGTGTGGAGTCGTATAGATAGGGTGTTTGGGAATGATCTTTGGATGATGAACTACAGTCACCTGAGCACTGAGTATGGGGAACCTTATATTTCAGATCATAGTCCCATGACTATCAACATAAGGCAACCAAGGAAACTATACAAGAGCCCTTTCAGATTCTTTAATGTATGGGCAAGCCATCCCGAGTTTGAAAAGATAGTAAGGGAGGAATGGAACAACAACAAACTAACAGGTAAGATGGTGAGTATTTGGACGAAGCTGAAAAGGATGAAAAGCCAATTTAGACAACTGAATGAAGCTGAGTTCAAAGGAGTAACTGGGAAGATAGCACAAGCAAGACAAGCCATACACCACATTCAAAATCAGATGCAAAATAAGTATAGTGACATGCTGCTAAGTCAAGAGAAAGAATGGTTGCACAAGCTGGAAACATGGTCAATGGTGGAAGAACAGATATTGCAACAAAAGGCTAGAGCAAACTGGATTAAGTTAGGTGATGCCAATAACAAGTTTTTTTCTGCAGTAATAAAGGAGAGGCAACAGAGAAAACAAATAGAGGAACTGCAAGCAATAGCAGGGGGCACCATAATAGAACAAGCAAATATAAAGGAAGAAATTATAGCATTCTACAAAAGCTTAATGGGAACTAGAGCTCAGGTACTACCAGCTGTGGACAAGATGATAATGAAAGAAGGGCCAACTCTAACACAACAACAACAGCAAGACCTGATTGCTGAAGTTACTAGCCAAGAAATTGATCAAGCTCCGAAGGGAATTAGTGGTGATAAAGCTCCAGGCATAGATGGTTATAATACAGAATTCTTCAAGAAAGCTTGGCCAATGATCAAACAAGAAGTGTATGCTGCAGTGAAAGATTTTTTCCACACGGGTGAGATGTTCCAAGCAATCAACTGCACTACTATCACATTGCTACCAAAAGTACCTAATCCAGTGACAATAAAGGACTTCAGACCTATTGCCTGCTGCACAGTGCTATACAAGCTTATTTCTAAAGTTATAGCTGGTAGACTACAGAAGATCATGCCATATATCATCTCTGAAGCCCAAGCAGGATTTATCCCAGGCAGAAAAATAGCAGATAACATCATCCTTGCTCATGAGTTAGTGAAGGCTTATAACAGGAAGCATATATCTCCCAGATGTATGCTGAAGGTTGACATGATGAAAGCATATGATTCAGTCGAATGAGTGTACTTGGATCAATTGTTAGAATACCTATGTTTCCCTACAAAGTTCAATAACTGGGTGAGAGCTTGTGTAACAACAGTGAGCTATTCAATCATGATAAATGGGGAGCTAACAAAGCCTTTTGATGCTGCTAAAGGACTCAGACAGGGTGATCCCATATCACCATTTCTATTTGCAATTGCAATAGAATACCTAAGCAGGCTGCTCAAAGGGTTGAAACATGTTCAAGAATACAAGTTTCATCCTAGATGTGGTAAGCTAAACATAACACACCTCAGCTTTGCAGATGACCTACTGATGTTTGCTAGGGGCGATAGTAAGTCTGTCACTAATCTTCATACTTGCTTTATGAAATTCTCTGCTACATCTGGACTTCTAGCTAATCCCAACAAGAGTGCAATCTATTTTGGAGGAGTTGATCAAAATACAAGACAGGAAATATTACAGAACACTGGGTATTCATTTGGGGAGTTGCCCTTCAAATATCTAGGCATACCACTAGACACAAAGAAGTTATCAGCTATGCAATGGCAACCATTGATTGATAGAATAGTTGCAAAGATCTCCTCTTGGACAGCTAAGAAATTATCCTATGCTGGAAGGGTGCAGTTAGTCCAATCAATGATATTTGGTATCCAATCTTATTGGTCCCAAATATTTATCCTACCAGCTAAAGTGATCAAACTGATAGAATCATATTGCAGAAGTTACATCTGGCCTGGTTCCAATACAATCACAAAGAGAACTCTGATAGCATGTGATAGAATGTGCTTGCCTAAATCTGCTGGAGGGTATAATCTAATGAATATCAGAATATGGAACAGAGCTGCTATCACCAGTGTCTATTGGGATCTTACACAGAAGAAGGACAAAATGTGGATAAAATGGATCCACACATACTACATAAAAGGGCAGAGGTTAATGGAAATGAATATTCCTCAGCAGGCAAGTTGGATGGTGAGAAAGATCATGGAAGCAAGAGAAGTGGCTCAGCAAGGACCTACATTTCTAAACAGGAAAAGTAACACCAAGCAAATATACTTCCATTCTGGGAAACTACAATAAGGTGGCATGGAGAACCTTAATGTTCCATAATGAAGCTAGGCCCAAGGCAGTATTCACTATGTGGATGCAATGCCATGAGAGACTTATGACAACAGATAGGCTTGCAAACTGGGGAGTTCAAGTGAATACAAGATGTTGTTTATGTGATGGTGCAGATGAATCACATGCACATTTATTTGGTGAATGCAAGTTTACTAAAACAGTATGGGGAAGGCTCATGCAATGGATACAGATTCAGGTGAATCCAATGCACTCGTATGCACAGATGATGACATGATAGTAATACAAGCCAAAGGAAAATCTTGTAAAGCCAAAATACTGAAAATGGTATATGCAGAACACATCCATGGGATATGGAGGGAGAGAAACATCAGAATATTTGAAAAGACAATGAGGACAACAGAGCAAATTGCAAGAGAAATAGCATGTGTTTGCAACATTAGAGTTCAAGGAGGGATGAGGAAGAAGATGCAGCAGCTTATGTATTGAAAGCAACGTATAACTTCCAGCTTTTTGTGTAATGCTTTATGTACTGCTCATAGTATAGGATAGAATTAGAATTATGTAAAGACTAAGTGAGTCGAGGATGACTCTACTGCTTTGTAATGGCTTCTTTGGTGATTAATGAAAATATAATTACCAAAAAAAAAAATATTTAATTACGACCCCGATAATTAAAATAAGCTACGAGTTTGATGGCAAAATCAAAACCCATAAACTTCAAATCCCGAATCTTTTTTCATACTCCACGCTATATATTATCAGTATTTATCACTTATCAACATTTAACACTAATGATAAATAATGGGTGGCTCGTGGTTGCCACTCTTTCTATTCCAGCTTCTTCCGCTTGGCACTTTTCATCAAAGTTGTTTTTGCTGGTTTTCCATTTAATATCCGATATTTATATTAGGACCCGATTAAATTTGAATTTATACTGGGAAATCTTATATAAAGAGCTCCCTAACAAAGGCGACTTCATCAAAATCGTTAAAAGATACACAACAAGTCCATTTCAAAAGTCTTTTTATTTTGTATCCCAATCACATTCCTAATAATTCCTGATAGATTTTGATCAAAAGTGTATATGAACCAAGGCTATACTTTTTGTTTAGCTTTGGATTTTGTTTCACATTATTCTATCATTGCTAATACGAATTATTTAAAAAATATATAAAGGAAACTTGGTCCCTTTCTATTATTAACTTCTATTTGCTGATATTTTATTCTTATTAGTGCTTTGCACATCTATGTAGCAATCAATGTCTTGGATCCATCTTGTGGGGGCGCATAATAAAGCCAAATTATTGCATAATCTTTCAAAGAACAAAATAAACTACTATATATCCAGTTGTCTGCACTAAAACATTTCCTCAATCTTTATTAAAAATGTTTAAATGAATTGGATTCTTTGCCTTTCCCTTAGGGTTACTTGGTACGATGGATAAGCAAAAATAGTATCGGGATAAAAATTTAGTATTGCATTATTCTTTGTTTGGTTATTAATCCTGGGATAAGTTATCCCAATATTAAAAATAATACTGGAATAACTTATACTTGCCAGATGATGGAATAGTAATCCCAGGATAAAGCAGTAAAATTGACAATCAAGATTAATACAACATACCAAACAAAAAAGTGGCAGTCCGGTGGGCTAAGCTCTCGCTATGCGCGGGGTCCTTTGAAGGGCCAGACAACAAGGGTCTATTGTGCGCAGCTTACCTGCATTTCTGCAAGAGGCTGTTTTCACGGCTCGAACTTGTGACCTCCTGGTCACATGGCAGCAACTTTACCAGCTACGCCAATGCTCTCTTTCACAACATATCAAACAATCAATAAAAAATAATACTAGAATAAATAATCTCACCTTAACTAATTCCAGTATAATTAGTCCCAGCACAACTAATCCAAACATAACTTGTCTAAATAATTACTATACAATTTGTATTATTTCTTGATCTGAGGGAAAAACATTAGGAAAACTCCAATCAACTGTTTCTTGATATCTGAAAAAAATTCATAATAATAAGCTAGGAAAAATACCATCAAACAATTTTATTTCTTGTCAATAAATTCTTACAGATTTTCATCACAATGAACTCTACTATGTGCTAAGAGTCTAAATGCACACTATAACAAATCATCACAAATATGAATGGCTAATGTGAAAGCTATGAGATTATTATTTACACAATAACCATATATATTACTCACTCTGCTACCATAAGCCTACAAAAAGAATTGGATAAAGCAACACCAAGAATATCTAACTGCAGCAAAAGAAACATGAATGTGAACTTGTGAGGCAGATTGTTCAGATGGGATAAATTAGGGCCTGTACTCAGTTTCTAGTGTAGGTTGTGTTCGCGTTACAGCAGCAACCGGTGCTTTCGTGCTCCCAACTTTAGTCATTTGTAATGCTTCTCCAACCTCTGCAGCCCTCTCCATTTGTTGAATTTTCTTCTTGTGCTTGTACTTGCTCGCGCACGCTATCAGGAGACCTAAAAGAAACAACAACACTAGTCCTCCTGCCACTGAACCAACAATTATCCAGACTTTTGACTTGTTTCTCTTTCCCTTTGGAGGGGATACCGGGGTTGGTGTTGGAGGCAATGGCGCAGGAGAAGGAGCAAGTGACTCGATCACAATAGAGAAATGCCCCTGTTGAAATGCTGTGCACGTGTTGTCCGACAAAACACTGCTGAAATTCACGGAACCTTGTAAATCAATAGAAACACACTTTGCAGATGATCCAACAGGCAATGGCTTGACATTTGAAAAACTTATCGAGATGGGCTGAACGGAAGCTTTGATATCCAACTCGGGCAAGTTAGTCGCTGACAAGTTTGATGCATCGTAAGCGAGAAGACCTAACACCGGAGCCAAGTAAATGTAACCAGGTAAATTATAATATCTTGAAGACCAATTACCTAAATTTTGGTAAACTAATACAAGTCTCTCAACAAAAGGCTGCTCAATGACACCAATGGGAATCTTGAACTCTTTATACATTTCAACTCCTCTCCTTCTTAAGCTACCACTCCTAAGCCTCAATGCAGACACCTTAATCCCAGTCAAATTCGAGGGAACATTTGCATCATAGACAACACCTGTCCTAATCCTCGGACGATCAAATGCAAGATAAGCATAATTTTGGAGAAGTGCATCTAGTGCCCGTGCAGCTCCCGGGGAAAAATCAGCTAACTGAGAGCTCCCTAATCGTGGCAACCAAAATAGCCACATTAAAAGACGAAGCATCGACAGACTTCCAAGAAGCCTCATCATGCTTCACAATGCAACAATTTCCCTATCTCACACTGCAAATCCACAAGTCACAACAATGTCAACCCCCAAAATATGTCAATACCTTTTTCTTGATGGGGTTCACACTTACGGTTATAGTACAACAACAACAACAACAACAACAAACAAGAAACAACAAACCCAATGTAATCCAACAAGTGGTGTCTGGGGAGGTAGGGCGTACGCAGCCTTACCCCTACCCTGGAAAGGCAGAAAGAGTATTTCCGAAAATCCCTCGGCTGACACTTACGGTTATAGTGGCAATGGGAACCCCAAAAATGTTACTTACTTATCTAGTGATGAGTTCTGAGATCAAGAATGAGCAATTAAAGGAAAGTGTCGCTATAACATCAACTCTAGTACTTAAGTATCTCAAATCAGACTTCAACTTCACACTTTAGGTACTTTAAATTCATAGATTTCGTTAGAGAATCTGATACTGCAAAACAAAACGTAACGGTAACTGTATACAAAAGTATGTAATCCCCATAGGATGAAAAAGCAAGAAAATTTTGACACTTTAACCCGTTGAAAAGTGGATAATTCCAAACACCTTTTGAAAATTCTTGCTCAAAAAGAGTCTAGCTTGAAATCATGAGCTTAATACCCTTTAAACGAAGATTCATCAATTTGCTAATTAATTCACAAACCCACAAGAAAAATGCAATTTTTAATGATTTTTTACATGGGCATTTTAGGAAAATAAAAAAATGCAAACTTTTATTCAGTTTGAATTGATAAAAATAAAAGTTACCAGAATTTAGGCCCACATTATCGCTTCAAAAACTCTAAACAAGGCCAGAAACTTGACCTTTATTAATCTTCAACAAGAATGGCAGAAAAAGTAGATATATAGTGTATGAATATGAGTTTTTTCTTACAAAAGTAGTAAAATAATTTAGCAATTCATAATTTACAAAAATGGCAGAAAAATGGAGAGTTTGTGGAGAGGAGGTTGAAGATGAACTGGTGTGAGAAGAGAGAAGGGAGAAGTGAATGGCAATAGACAGAAAAAGACGATGAAACAGTGGGCCGTGGGATGAAAATGTTAAAGGAGATAGTCATTGTAGATTTTATTTTAATAATAATTAACTTACCTTTTTGTAATATAAAATAAAATCTTCTTTATACAGTTGTACAGATAATCACAGTGTAGTCTGAGGTTGTGAGCTGTGAATTCTATAAAAAAGAATATGTTTGTTTATACTTGTAACTAAGAATAATGTCGGTACTAAATTTTGTTAATGATCGATAGATATTTGGTCGTAATATTTATTTCCAATTCAATGTTTGCAGTGAAAGAGAGTCTTGGAGCAACGATAACCTATACGTTATGGGTTTAAGCCGTGAAAGCAGCTATTAAAATACTTGTATTACGGTAGGATGTAATCCTTTCCCAAACCCTGTGTGAATGCAAGGTGTTTTGTGTACCAGACTACCCTTTAATTCAATAATAACAACAACAATAAAACCAGTGTTATCCCAAAAGTGGGTCTGAAGAGGGTAATGGTTACGCATATCTTACCCCTACCTTATGAAAATAGAGGGATTGTGTACGATGGACCCTTGATTCAAAAATGCCGTTTAATTTTACGATATTATGTTACGTTTACATGTTATAGCAAATAATTATTTTGCTCAACGTTAAAATTTTATTTTTTATAAAAGTTTACCTGTCAATATCTTTTGAATTATCTGATAGTATATATATTTTTTTTAATAATATCAATGTATATAAATTAAACTCTAAAAATATATTGAATTCATGTGGAATAACACATATGTACATAAAGAACAAGCTAATAAAAAATGACATTCATACTGGTACATGGTTGAGTAAATTTTTTACTCGCTATCTAATATTCGTTTCTAATATAACTTATCTAATATTGATTTAAATTCTATTAGAAAGTGTACAAAGTTGAAGAGATAGAGAGATGTAATATACCAGATTTATTTATTCATCTTCTTAATCAAAATTGTTGCTTATTTTAGAGTTTAACTTCTATAAATTGACAATGGAAAAAAACTTTTTATTGTATCAATTACTCAAAAATAACTATAGGTAATCGTTCATAAATGTAGAATTGATAAGCTGAAAATAATCTTACAGTTAAATATGCTGCTATTAATATAAAAAAAAATATAATGCCGGTATGTACAAGTTAAATTATTTAGTTTAAACAATAAAAAGGAGCAGGTGGAATATGCAATTTCTTGACGGGTACGGATCATGGGCTGAACGAGCTCCGGCCCGAAGTGGTTGATATACATGAGGCCCGATGGATTTTCATTTGCGATTTTTTCATTCTTATACACTATTGGAAACTTATTACCCTAAATGTTCATATTTAGTAAATTACCCTAGCTACACAAGTTTTGTTTACAAAATATATACATTCCACCTTAAAAGACTCCCAATCCATTATTAGTGCCTTCAATTAAGGGATTTAGTACCCCACATGCATTATTGCAGGAAAATTTATCGCTGATCCTCCCTTTTTGTATCAATTGTTTAGTGAATGACTCTCTTTTATTTATTTATTTGTATATGCTATTCACCATATCAAAACACTTTTTTCCATAAAGTCAATGGTAGAACATTCAAAAACAAATTTAACAGACTGAATGAAAAATATAAAGTAAAATCATAAGTTGTGAAAAAAAATAATGAACAAACTGATTTCTTTCATCCACCGCATCTTTTCTTGTTTATACGATCAGACTCTGTATTTATTTTTATTTTTTTGTAATTTAGTTAACTAAAGAGGAGTCTCTATAAAATTTCTAATAAAATAGAGTATCTTGAGAGTCTGTCTCTCCTAATTGACTTGTAAGTTTTTGCAGTAAAATAAACTTCTTTGACCGGGGAAAAAGAAGAAGGTAAATAACCATTTTTTTAGAACCATATGCAGCGCTTCAATTTCACACTTAAAATTAGTCTGTTCACATCTTCATATTTTCTCTATAAATAAACAAGTCAAAAATCAGTACCAATACACCCTTTTAAATGTTTACAAAAGAAGTTTCAATTTTATAAGAAAATAGATGAAAATAGCTTCAGATTCAACCACTTTTCTGTTCTTGACACTATTCCTTATTACACAAATACAATTTTTATACAATTTTATATATCTTCTGTATATTTTGTATCTGATTTATACATAGTAAAACACAAATTTCATACAACTAATTATATATTATACAACTTATCTACAACTTTCATACATTATTTCTGCCCAGTTATATACAACTACAATATAATGCCACTTAAATATAAGTTTTATACAAATTTCATACAATATGTCTTTTGTATATTTTGTATCTAATTTATACATAGTAAAATAAATTTCATAAAACTAATTATATATTATACAGTTTATCTACAACTTATCTACAACTTTCACACATTATTTCTACCTAGTTAAATACAACTACAATAACATACAACTTAAATACAAATTTTATACAATATGTCTTTTGTATATTTTGTATCTGATTTATACATAGTAAAAACAAATTTCATGCAACTAATTATATATTATACAACTTATCTACAATTTTCATACATTATTTCTACTCAGTTATATACAACTACAATATCATACAACTTAAATATAATTTTTATACAATGTTGTTCAACTTTCATACAATAGTTAAATGAATAAAAGAAAAATATATAAACAACAGAATATAATTTTTCTACAATTTTACTACAATTTCTGCAGTATAATGTATGTCATGTCTTCTTCTTCTTCTTCTTCTTCTTCTTCGAGTTCCAATCTGAAATTCAGCCAAAACCAAACCTAATCTTCACCAAAACCCCTCGAAATTGCGATATAAACTCCAAACCATATTCCCAATTATTTGCAACAACACCCAATCCAAACAAATAATGATTTTTGAAAATCCAAATTCGAATTCAAAGCTTCAAAGCTTTTTAATGGATGTCAATGGTGGAATTGCTGCTCTCTTTTCCTTTGCTTTACATTACTGAAATTTGGGATTGAGAGATAGAGAGAGACGTAGAGAGAATTCTCAATTCTTTGCAACAACATCCAATTCAAACAAACAATAGTTTTTTGAAAACCCAAATCCGAATTCAAAGCTTCAAAGCTTTTTAATGGTTGTCAATGGTGGAGAGGTTACAGATTTTTGCTGGTTTTAGAAGAGGAAACCGTGGGTGATTGAAGAGGAAATCGTGGGTGTGGTTTGATACGTGAGTGAGGTGGTGGGATTTGGAGAGAGAAACTTGGGGAGTGGGATTATACGGTTCAGTAAATTAGGAGACTAATTAATACCATTAAAATCCTAAAATGGTACATAAATGATAATTAGGTATATAGAAGATAATTATATTAAAAGTTAAGCATGGAGAGTAATATAGTTTACTATATGGCATAGGGGTTGCACTCCTCCATAAATCCCAAGGCATTTTCTGATGCTAGTCCACTGAATGCCGGAGGATCATATTTCTTGAACCTCTCAAGTCTCCGCTGCTCACCCCTCTC